TATTTAAAAATCAAAGTAAAGGTAATATTGTTTGATATAGCAGATTACTTTGTTGAATCAAGATTTTTTTTATTAAAAGGTAAATAAATAGATTGAATTTTAAAAACAACAAAATTCCAATTAAATTGATGTCTGAATGGTATGTTGTTTTTCAGATTTTCCTTGCCCTCGTGGTCTTGTATGCTGCATTAAATCCAGCAGCGTTACTGAAACACAAGAAAGACAGGCCTTGTAATAATAATTTAGGTAAAACTTTATTATATATATATATATATATATATATATATATATATATATATATATATATATATATATATATATATATATATATATATATATATATATATATATATATATATATATATATATATATATATATATATATATATATATATATATATAGAAGAGAAAGAAAATTTACATAAGAATATTATTTTGATTTATGTGTTTTGAATTGAATTTTCTATGAAAGAATCCTATGTATAATTCTTAAAAAAAAAAAAAAAAAAAAAAAAAACGGAAGAAAAAACATATATACATGTTTCAAATTATTTCAGAAATTATGAGACTCTGTTTGGTTATTTCTTAAACTCTATAAGGAAGGATTTTTTTTCTCATAATTACTGTATTTTTCTCAGAATGAAGAAGACAATATAGTTCACAGAAAATATTATATATATATATATATATATATATATATATATATATATATATATATATATATATATATATATATATATATATATATATATATATATATATATATATATATATATATTAGGGATGGCAATCGATTACAGAATTGCTAATCGGTTAACCGCAAGAAGTTCCGACCGATTAACCGGTTAATCGTATCAAAATACACATTTTCTTGACATTTTTTTCAAGTAGCTCTACTCATAGTAAGATGTTAGAAACTATCTGTTTATCTTGATCAGGAAGCTACATGTACATATATTTTATTTCAATTTCAATAGATAAGAAAATTACGAAAACCATGAAACATGCCCGAGAAATCATGATCAGACGTTGATGATTTTTTAAAGCAGATGTCACACATTCTGCATTGTCGCCATAATCAAAACTAAGTCTGAACTTTCACTTAATATACAATGTTTTTCTAATAATATAATTTGATAGATAACTGCAAAAGATAGACATAATGACTCACAGTGCTCAACGGTGATTTATTTAACATCATTAAAGAATTACAGGACAGTCGGGGTAACAACATGTTGTTTGTACTGTAATTAACTTTTCACAAACTGACCAATTACCCCCGATCTCAATCAGGCGAACAATAATTACCTCCAAATCAGCTTATATAGATATGTGAAAACGCTAAATTATCAAACGTTTATATAGAAGTTTCATTTTTAAAAATGATTTGTAAGAAAATTGCGTTCAAATTTACATATATTTTATTTTTTCCGACTAACCTATTACAGATTTTCTAACCGATTACCATCGTTCCGACCGAGTAATCGGTTAACCGGTTGCAAATTGCCATCCCTAATATGTATATATATATATATATATATATATATATATATATATATATATATATATATATATATATATATATATATATATATATATATATATATATATATATATATATATAAACACTGATGCAGAAATTTTCTGGTACAAGTTGTGTTGATTGGAATTTTAAGATTCATCTCCACAATGTGTTCTAGGAAAGAAAATTGAAAATATAAGTTATCAAATTAATTCAAAAGGATCCAATCTCAACAGAGTCAAAAATTGTTATTGACAGAGAAACTGGTGATGAGGGAAAATTCATTTAAGGTTTAATTTTTCACTATAAATATGAATACATGTAGTTTCCTCAATAAAAGTGAAATATGGAGATCTTATAGTATTCAAGCTCAAAGTCCATTTCAACAATACAAATCGGGAGCAAAGGAAACACGGAACTCCAAAATCATGAGAGGTGGGATCAGGTGCCATGGAGGAGTGAGCATCCCCTGCCGACTGGTCACACGCGCTGTATGCTCCTTGTAATGATCGGTAAAAAACGGAAAATCCGTACACAATTCAGTGTGTTAAAAATGGTCTAACAATTTGTATGAAGAACATCAGTCAGCATTTGACTTAATGATAGGTTGTATTAGCTGACAAGGTCATTGTATCGACCATAAAACTTGCGAAATTATGACTTCTAACGGGACTGTTGATATCCTTGCTTCATCAACTTGTTTATCGATAGATTTACTCATTTTAGAAATTGTTCATACGTAGAGCATGCTCTTGCATATCGAATCAACTAGGAGACAATCCCATATCGAATCAGCTACGTAGGAGACAATCCCCATATGCAGGTGATAAGAGTATATTGCTACATAAGTTAGGAAAGTTAACGATTGAGAAATTGAAGTCATCACGCTTATCATTAAGCTTAGTTGTTAAGTTACCATTAATAAAATATTTAAATATGAAAAAGATGTGTTAGACTCTGTTTTGGTATCTTGATGCTTAAGTTTCTGATTGACATTATCTATGTAGTTTTTGGAGATGGGTACTAATTGAGCCCCCCTTTATAGCATATCTATTTTGTTTTCATATGAAGCAGAATTTATTCAAAAACTTCTACATGAGAAGAAGAAAATACTTGCTGTGGCCTTCAACTCGACATATAGATATATCAACGACGTATTATCAATTAACAATAGTTACTTCCATTCCTATATCGACTTGATATATCCCAGTGAACGTGAAATAAAAGACACCACAGAGTCTGCCACATCTGTTTCATATGTTTCAAATTTGTATGACAAAGAGGATGACTTCAGCTTTTCTATCGTCTACTTTCCATATTTATGTAGTAATATCTCGCTATAATCTGCATATGTTTAAGTCTCCTAATTTATTCGACACGCAAGAGCATGCTCCGAGTACGAAGTTTTAAACCGAGGTAGACTACTGACAGATGAGTTGATGCTACAGGGATTTCAACAACCTTGTTTAAAGTCAGCATTTCGTAAATTCTTTGGTCGTTATCATGACTTTGTTAGCAAATATAACCTATCATTTGGTCGTATTAATTTGGCTGATGTGTTTCATACCAATTGTTAGGCCTTTGTTTTTATGCTGAATTTGACTACGTAATGTTCCGTCTACCTGATCAATACCTGGGGCTCAAGGCAGGTGTGACCGGTCAATAGGCGAGGCTTACTTCTCCTAGGTACCTGATCCCACCTCTGAAAATTCCAGGGATCCATGTTTTATCCTCTCTTCACAGATTTTTGGAAACCATGAAATATATGGAGATAACGAACAGTATTCAAGCTCAAAAGTCCATTAATCAATACAAAATAGGAGCAGAGCAAACACGGACCTCCAAAACATCAGGGGTAGGATAAGGTGCCATGGAGGAGTGAGCATCCCCTGCCGACCGGTCACACCCGCCGTGTGCTCCTTGTCATGATCGGGAAATAACGGAAAAATCCGTCGACAATTCAGTGTGTAAACAATGGCCTAACAATTCGTATGAAAAACTTTAGTCAGCATTTGACTGAAAGATGAATTGTATGAATGGAACTCGTAAATTTACTTACCTTGTCATTGGTCATTTGCAAAATTACTCTGTTAAAAACAATCTGATTGTACACACAAGTACTCTGAAGTTGACATTAAAAAGATGCTTGAGTTTCTGTTTGACAATATCTATGTGGTTTTTGGAGACCAGGTCTTCCAACAATCTATTGGAATTTCCATGGGTACCAATTACGCCCCGTTATTAGTAGAACTATTTTTGTATTCATATGAAGCAGAATTTGTTCAAAATCTTGTATGTGAAAAGAAGAAAATACTTGCTGTGGACTTCAACTCGACATTTAGATATATCGACGACGTATTGTGAATTAACAATGGTTATTTCCATTCTTATGTCGACACAATATATCCCGGTGAGCTTGAGATAAAAGATACCACAGAGTCTGACACATCTGTTTCATATTTGAATATTAATTTTATTAGAAAAAGACGTTAATGGTAATCTAACAACAAAGTTTTATGATAAACGTGATGACTAACTTTTCAATCGTCAACTTCCCTTACTTATGCAGCAATATACCCTTATCACCTGCATAGGTTTATATCTCTCAGTTGAATGATACGCAAGAGCATGCTCTACGTATGAACAATTTCTAAAACGAGGTAAGTTATCGACAAACATGTTTTTTCTTTGTTTGTTTGTATGTTGTTTAACGTCCCTCTCGAGAATTTTTCACTCATATGGAGACGCCACCACTTGCCGTTGGAGAGCTGCAAATTTTGTCCTATACTCGGCACTTACGGCCATTGAGCAGTGAGGGATCTTTTTCGTGCCAGCACCTACTGCGACACGGGACCTCGGTTTATACGGTCTCATCCGAAGGACCGATTTCCACGTCCCACAGTGGGATTCGAACCCGCGACGTAAGGACCAACTCCTTACTTCGCGACTCTAGAGCAGACGCTCTAACCACTGCGCCACGCGGATGACTCGACAAACAAGTTAATGAAACAAGAATATCAGCTGTCTCGTTTAAAGTCATCATTTTGTAAATTCTATGGTAGATACAATGACCTTGTCAGCAAATACAAACTTTCACTAAGTCAAATGCTGACTGACTTTTTTCATACTAATTGTTAGGCCATTATTTACACACTGAATTGTCTACGGATTTTTCCGTTATTTCCCTATCATGACAAGGAGCACACGGCGGGTGTGACTGGTCGGCAGGGGATGCTCACTCCTCCATGGCACCCACCTCTGATGTCTTAGAGGTCCGTGTTTGCTATGCTCTTATTTGTAACGTTTAATGGACTTTTGAGTTCGAATACTGTTCGTTATTTCCACATATTTCATACATACGCAGCACTCTCAGAATGCTTACTTATACAAGAAACATTCAAATAATTTCAATCTTTTTTTTTTCTTTTCGCTTTCAGAATATGAAGGAAGTGTGGGAAAAGAATTCCTTTTTCTCATTATGGGAAATCATCCATCTGCTAGTGAAAATTTCTCAAATATTTTCATAACAACCAATACTTTTGCAACTGTCAATATATCTACCGCTGAAACTCTCCCAATTCATCTGAAATCCTCTATTGATCAAAAATCAGACGTCGATTCATCTATTCAGATAGCTTTACCGCCTGAAATACAATGCTCAAATTTTGTCAAGGAACCTAAAGCTATCTTGATTCGTTCCACAGAGCCAATTTCTGTACAGATATCAGATAACAACAATATTTTTACAAGTGAATTAACAACACTTTTTCCTGTTGAGAAGCTGACAAAATCATACATAATATCCTCCTACCGTTCCCTCTATAATCAAGCCGCCATTGCTGCATACGAAGACGAGACAGAAGTCAAGATAATATTAAAATTGCCAACGGGCAGACAAGTGTTTTACTTGGGTAGAAGTTACAGAAATCTGGATATTCTGGAAATTTCATTACAAAAACTGGAAACTTTTCAATTTTATAGCTTTTCTTCCGATTTATCAGGTACACGAATCGAATCCAACAAACAAGTGGCCGTCTTTTCGGGGTCACGCTGTGTAAGATTGGGAAGCGGGGCGTGCTCTCATACAGTAGAGCAAATGCCTCCAATATCTCTCCTTGGCAAAACATTCATTGCTCCTCCAAATCTTAGACGACCACAAACCTTAGTTAGGATATTATCTCCAACTAAAACAGATGTGACGATTTCCATGGGAGGTCAGATTCAGAATCGTAATATAAACGAAAACGAGCACACTGACATTTCTTTAACTGATGAACAAATTGTCGTTATTGAAAGTACAAATCCCATTTTAGTCACAAGCCTAGCTTTTGGATCCTCGAATTTTGACCACGGCGATCCGTACCTAACAGTAGTACCAGGAAAGAGCCATTATCTTGAAAAATATAAGGTTTTTGTGCCACCGGGATACACAAAGAATTATATCGCTATTATGATAGAGACAGCAGCGAAATCCTCCATTGTGCTAAACAGAGAGCCAATTGAAATGAATTCCATTCGTCTCGAAAAGCAGCAAACAGTAAACTCCACTGAGTTCACGACTCTGGTAGTAGAAGTTGGAAGTGGCGAATTAATCGTACAGTCTGATAAAGTCGCGTTTGGTCTGATGGTGTATGGGCAACGTCGTTTTGACGGGTATGGATTTGCAGGAAATGTACTGAGTCCATAAGACATGTTCTTGAATCTTTGTTTTATGGAGAATTTATGAAAGATATATCTTAAGCAATAAATGGTTTCCAATAAAAGCTTGGAAAACTATAGAAAAGAATACTTTTTTCAATTTCTAAACAAATACGTCTTGCATTATTTTTCTAATATAGTGATAGCTAGAATAAATAGATATTTAATCTTTTAGATAACTGTATCATATTTTATTAACTATAAATATAAAGTTTTCTTCTCAAAGATTTTATTTTTCCGATGTACTTTGTAACACAAGTGTACGTACACTTAATAGAATGTTAAGTGGAAAACGTGTGAACGTACGAAAATTAAACCCCGAAAATGTAAATAACTGGTAAACAATCACGAGCACGTTAGAGAATAGAGAATGTAGAACCTTTAATATATCGTGAGGAAATATTCAAAGTTAAGAATTATAACTGCATGTAAAAGTATTACATTTGACTGTATATTCTAATTAGCGCTGTTGGCAGAAAGTAAGCGTAAGAACAAAAAATAGATTATCAAAGAAAAATAATGAAAGTCAAGAAATTATCTTTCTTGAACCCATGGGAAGCATAAATAGTTAAGAAACTTTTAAAAAATCTAAACCTTCAGGAAAATTTGTATAGACAAAAGCTATGGTAATGATTATAGACCAGGGATATTCTTTACCTTGGGCGGGGGGGGGGGGGGGAGGGGGGCTTACATGTAGTAGATTTTCTTCATCCAAGGGTATCTGCAGCCCCGTCAGGACTATCATGTCAGGATGGGGTAATTCTAGAAATGAAATAGAACAATACAAGTGTTTCTATATCAATGAATATATGTTTCTAGATCTAGAATGTTCTTTACTATTTCTATATAAGGTAAAGGTGTAAAGCTTCTAGTGTGTATTAATTTATTTTAACAGATGAGCTGTTTTAACAAAGTGATTGCGTTTAATCTTCCTGTGTGGTTTTGGACCATAGTGAATGCATGATTAGTATAGCCAGAATGGAATCAAAGAGTACGCAGAGAACGTCGGGGGGTAGGTGGGTTAGGTTCAAAGTTTCACAAATCAAAAATTTATTAATACGTTACCAAATTTAAATGATTTATCAACACTACAACAAAAAGTGTGTGTGGGGGGGATGGGTGAGGGTGGGAGGTTCGGGTGGGGGTGGCAATCATCCTTCCAATGAACATTTTCAATAGTGAAAGGTAAGGTTTAGAAATAAGAAGGGGGCAGGCCACCTCCTCCCCCTTCACCCCCTAAACTTTGTGCCTGCTGGTGAGGCCCAGAAGCTCCTAAGTTTTACCAAATGTTTCATTTATTTTCTTGCAAAAAAATTGTGCCATTTAGCTCTTGTTTAGAATACCTACCTCAAATGAACACCGATGATGATGTCTTCGATCCTCCGTATCAAGCACATCATTCCTTCAGGCTTTTCCTGGAATACAGCACGCAGCCTCGCTGAAGGTTCGGAGGTTTTTGTACTACCAGATTGAATCTCATCTGCTGGTATGTTACAACCTCTTCCCTGAACTCACATTTGTGAGACACTCTCAATTTTCTCTCTTTTCCCGGTTTTAGAATATATCTATCCAGTACGCTATCCTTTTTGAAAATTTTCCTCCCTTTTCCCCATTCTTAAAGACATCTATCTAGTGGACTTTCCTTTTTTAAAACGATCATTTTTAGGATCCCGAATTTAGCCTATGAATTATTATGGAAAAATTTACTATGGAATCGTTTCCAAATGTTCATTTTATTCATTTAAGTATTTTACCTTGATACGGATGATGGAAGACATTATCATTGAAGATCATTTGAGGTAGGTATCCCGTGCTTCGGTCTGCTAACACCGCCGTCTAAAAATACGGTAAGTATTTTTAAAGATAAAATCGCGAGCTCAGCTGCTTTTTATAGGCCACATTTCCACCAAACAATGAAACAGAGCTTTATTGCAACCTTAATGCAAAATTCACTTTCATGTTATCTTTTTACAATGAGGGTAAATATTACCCTTAATTTCCAAAATTATTGCCTAAAAACTGCATGTTTATTCACACCAGTGATCGAGGACTCCTTTTTGTTTCTTTTTAAAATATTTATTTTCCCAAGTTATATTGTTTACAGTATGGGTTCTGAATTAAGAGAAATATAAATGGGTCTGTAGCCGGACACAAAGGCACACTTATTGATTACATGTTTAGTGTTCTAACACATAATATCAATTTCATAGACTGACGATGATACAAAAATACGAATTATTTTTAATGGTGACTTCGTCTGAAAGATGGGCTATCGAATTCAACAGAAGTAAAATTGTACGCTTACACTGTACTAAAACAAACAAACAAATTCCGGTTGTTCAAAATGTTAATAACCATGCTAGAGAAAGGGTGTCGTTGTGACAAACACACGAATACATATTGATAATATTCAGAAGAAAAATACATTTTCAAAAGGAAAAATTGGAAGAAAATTATAAAGCTTTCCTTTGGTCAGTTTTTGAATATGAAAGTAGGTTACTGTACATCTTCAAGTTTTAATAACACATTGTATTTCCCCACAAAAGTTATGATAAAAACACATCTTAAAAATATTTACCTATTTTTTTAGTCTACTATTAAGTTATAGAGTGATATAGATAATTTCATTTGTATATCATGTTTGAATTATTTAAACAGTGTTGCGCTTTAAAAGTTGCTAATGTTGTCAGTTTTTGGTATTGGAAAACGGAAGCAAATATGCTTCATTTTCAACCTAGGAATCAACTTCATGAACCTTTTCTTAGTGATTCCTCATTATGTGATGCGTACTAGTAATTCATACAGGAATCAGGTTTAATGTAAACTGGGATGGGAACTTTAACATGTAGCAATTTTATTATAGCCTTTGCCAAAAAATGAAAATATCTTTAATATTCCAAACAACCAAAATGAAATTGAATTACCATATTTATATTGGATTCCGAAACTTCATAAAAATCCTTACAAACAAAGATACATACCGGGTTCCAGTAAATGTTCAACCAAGCCCCTTTCTTTACTCCTCACTAAGATATTAACAGTGGTGAAGGAGAAACTTCAAGAGTACTGTGCAACAATATATTCGAGAAGTGGTGTAAATCAGATGTGGATACTTAAAAGTTCCAAGGAACTTTTGGAAAATTTGAAATCACAAGATTTTACCAACATCAACAACATAAAAACTTACGACTTTTCAACTTTATACACAACCATTCCCCACGATAAATTAAAGTCCAAGCTTTTTGATATCATTGACAGCTGCTTTTTCAATAAAATGGAACTCATAAATTTACTTACCATGTCATTGGTCATTTGCAAAATTATTTTGTTAAAAACATTCTGATTGTACACACAAGTACTCTGAAGTTGACATTAAAAAGATGCTTGAGTTTCTGATTGACAATATCTATGTGGTTTTTGGAGCCCAGGTCTTCCAATAATCTATTGGAATTTCCATGAGTACCAATTGTGCCCCGTTATTAGCAGACCTTTTTTTGTATTCATATGAAGCAGAATTTGTCCAAAATCTTATACGTGAAAAGAAGAAAACACTTGCTGTGCCCTTCAACTCGACATTTAGATATATCGACGACGTATTGTCAATTAACAATGGCTATTTCCATTCTTTTGTCAATACGATATATCCCGGGGAGCTTGAGATAAAAGATACCACAGAGTCTGACACATCTGTTTCATATTTGGATATTTTACTTGAAAAAGAAGTTAATGGTAATCTAACAACCAAGCTTTATGATAAACGTGATGACTTTAACTTTTCAATCGTCAACTTCCCTAACTTATGCAGCAATATACCTTCATCACCTGCATACGGGGTATATATCTTTCAGTTGATTCGATATGCAAGAGCATGCTCTACGTATGTACAATTTCTAAAACGAGCTAAATTATTGAAAAACAAGTTAATGAAACAAGAATATCAGCTGTCTCGTTTAAAGTCATCATTTCGTAAGTTCTATGGTCGATACAATGTCCTTGTCAGCAAATACAATTTATCATTGAGTCAAATGCTGACTGACGTTTTTCATACTAATTGTTAGGCCATTATTTACACACTGAATTGTCGACGGATTTTACGGTATTTCCCGATCATGACAAGGAGCACACGGCGGGTGTGACCGGTCGGCAGGCGATGCTCACCTGATCTCACTTCTGATGTTTGGAGGTCCGTGTTTTCTCTGCTCCTATTTTGTATTGTTAAATGGACTTTTGAGCTTGAATACTGTTCGTTATCTCCATATATTTCATTGAAGAAGTCAAGATAAAATTAATACTATTTTTTACTTAAAAATCGCGTGATTTCACCAATATCTCAAAATTTACATCATTGACCACAACTTTTTTCATTCATTATTATAAACTACACAATACGTCTAACCGATCAGCACTAAAGTCATCAAAAGCTTAATACAAGGAAACATTTTATTGCCTATTAAGATTTTTAATACATGTACCCCAAATATGATACTTTTTTAGTGCAAAAAGGTCCCATAATAATTTATGCGCATTAATTTGCATAATTTGTCCAATCATGATGAATATTATTCAAACTACAGGTAACTCTTGATGGCTCGAACTTCGATCTCTCGAAGTTCTTGATCGCTCGAAGTGAGTTTCCGGTCCCGAATTTTCCCACTATATAACTAAGCAAATTTACTCTTGATTTCTCGAACTCTTGATCTCTCGAAACCCTTGATCCCTCGAAGTCAAAATGCAGTCCCGCTATGCATATTCTATTAGAATTTACCCTCGATACCTCGAAGTGGCTATGTGTATACACGATTATGTAATTAGCACCTTTATCTGGACATTTAAATGGCCCCAGGCAGAAGACGCGGGTCTCGAGGAACGGGATGTTTATTCAGGTGACACTTATGCTGCAAGGTGATAATTGATTTATAATTAATCATATTTTGCCTATATGCTATTAAAATAATTATCATCGACTGTCTTACAATAATTTAGAGACGCAGTGTCATTGAAAAGTAGTAATTGATTAAAAGACAAAACACTAATTTAATTTTTATTTCGAGACAGTGTCAAAGTTAAACGAAATATGAAAAAAGCAGAAACAGCCTCAATGTCAATATGACGACTATTATTAGACAAATACTTGCAGAACTGCGTTCAATGATCATATTTGGAATAGTCAAAGCTATGTACGACGCTGTAAAATGTCGTTTTCATGATGTCCGTATTACGAAGAATAAATAAATATACATGAAATGACGATATACATTTTTTGCTTTACTCAGTTTAATGAAATATTCATCTGAATTACGGAAAAATATCGTTATTTTATAAAAACCAGGTGTAAAAGGTTAGCACTGCATGAAAATCATTACATCCTTAAGACTAATTTTAAAACCTGTCAACAAACTCGGAAAATTCCGGACTCTTGAAAACTCGAACTCTTGATCTCTCGAAGTTTTTCCTTGGTCCCGCGGAGAGGTATCGAGAGTTACCTGTATTTTACGCATAATAAGATTTTATTTATTGCCATGATTACATGTATCTGATAAAGTATGATAAAGGTTAAAGTGATTAACCTAAGACTTATAATTTAAGTGTAAAAAGGTCAAGTTAATTGTACCGTAGCTCAGTCAAATGCACACTGACCCCCAGTTTTCTTTGCGATTTTGAGTCATGCTATATAAGATACTTCCTAAAAAATTCTTGATATAACTAACTTCACGAGTGACATACCTTAACAAGTATTTGGTATTATAATTTGTCATTGTTAACCGTTACAATGAATTACGGCTAAGCATGAATGGCTTTTTTTAACCAGATGGATGACTTTCCACACTGTGTCAAAATGGTTAATGTTTTGTCAGATCATGAAGTCCCCACTTCTCAGTTCTGCTTGGTTCGTCTTCAAATTCATTTCAAGCGCTATTTTAAGGCAAGATTGACAATCGGGAAAAACCTTCTTACAGGAAGCAATATGCTTGACATTTCATCTCTATTTCAAAATGAATGAAGAATTTTTTTTCTGTATTTGAGATAAGATTTCAATATATTTTATTTTTCAAAATTAATAGTACTGTTGTGTTTATTTTGAAAGATTTTCCGTACGCTTTTGAATTAAATGACATTTTTAAGCACGTGCTGCAGAAAATGTCAGAAGATAAATCATATTGCTTGATACTCCTTTAAAGATTTGATAAATGGAACATTGAAAAATACGTATAGTATATTTACCTATCACAAAGCAAATGGCCTAGTTTTAAAGGCATCACAAGAGTCAGCCAAGCTGCATAATTTTTACATAAGAAGTGTAGCGTGAAAAGAGATCGAAATGTTACAAAATCTGAATGGAGACTCCCAGAAAGTTTCTCGGAAGTAACCGTCTAATTATTTGTAATGACCATGCATTTGGGTTTGTGCCATCACTCAATTAGTTTAAAGTTAAAAGCAAGAGAGAGAGAGAGAGAGGCTGACCAGAGTGTTAAGTACAATAAAAATAGATTATCATAGAAAATAACATGAACGTCTAGAGATTTTTTGACCCCAGCGAAAGCATGCATATTAAAAAGACTTTCTAAATCTTTGTCCTGAAGATAATTTGTATAGACAAGAGACTGTTGCTATGTTTGTAGACAATATACTTTCTTGACCCTGAGGGTAACTTGCATAGCCAAGAGATTTTCCTGATCCGAGGGTAAATGCAGTTCCGTCATATTGATGTTGTTCAAGAAATGAAATGCGCATTACAAACGTTTCTAGAATTTTTTTTCAAGAATTATCCATATTTAATGAATAGATGTTTCTAGATCTAGAATGTTCTTCACTTTTTCTATATAAGGTAAAGGTGTAAGGCTTCTGGTGTATATTAATTTATTTTAACAGATGAGCTGTTTAAACAACGTGATTGCGTTTAATCTTCCTGTGTGGTTTTGGACCATAGTGAATGCATGATTAGTAAAATACTATAATGAATAAAATGAACATTCGGAAACGATTCCATAGTGATTTTCTCCATAGAAATTTATAGGCTGAATTCGGGATCATACAATATGTACTTGGAAGAGGAAAATTAAAATATCTTTTTAAAAAAGGATAGTGCACAAAATGTCTTCAAAAATAGGGGAAAGAGGAAAAATTGAAAAAAGGGTAGTGAACTTCAGAAATGTCTTCAAAAATCTGGAAAGGAGAATTTTTTAAAAGAAAGTGTGCAAGATAAAAATGTGGAAACGAGAGAAAATTGAGAGTGTCTCACAAAGATAAATCCAGGGAAAAGGTTATAACATAAAAGCAGATTCGATCTGGCAGTACAAAACCTCCGAACCTTCAGGGAGGCTGCTTCCTGTATTCTAAGAAAAACTGGAGGGAATGATGTGCTTGATACTGAGGATCGAAGACATCATTATTGGTGTTCATTTGAGGTAGGTATCCCCTGCTTTGATCTGTGAAATATCGATCTGACAATATTGACAGTTAGTTTTATGTATTAAATATCAAGCCCTGTATCTTATTGGCCACATTTCTTCAAAACAATGAAATGACGTTGTTCAACCCTAAATGTAATGAAATATATAGATAACGAACAGTATTCAAGCTCAAAGTCCTTTTAAACAGTACAAATTGGAAGCATAACAAACACGGACCTCCAAAACATCAGAGCTGGGATCAGGTGCCATGGAGGAATGCGCATCCCCTGCCGACCGGTCACACCCGCCGTGTGCTCCTTGTCATGACCGGGGAAAAAAAGGAAAAATTCGTTGACAATTCAGTGTGTAAATAATGGCCTAACAATATGTATGACAAACATCAGTCAGCATTTGACTTAATGATAGAAAATTATTTTTCTTGTAATCTTTTAAGATTGAAGGTAAACCTGCTACTCTTTGTTTCAAAAAATTTCATCCTTAACGTAAAAAGAGCATTTTTTTTTTACATTAGAGGCCGCTAAACTCCTTTTAATTTCTTACTAAAAACTATATATTTTCCTAAGCAAAAATGTGCTTGCTGTATTGGTTGCTGTAAGGTGAAGATATAGAAAGTTAAGAGAAAAATGCCGGGGTCTGTAGCCAGACAACAGGCACTAAGATTGAAAATGTTCCGAGACAATATTTCACTTGAAACAATAAATCATTTAACCCACTTAAAAAAATAACTAACAAACGTAAATAAAACAAATAAAAAGCTAGTCTCCTAACAGAATAATGATATTTCTCCTTTGAATTTATAGTCGATGTGAAAGCACTAATATTTTCTCATTTGAAGAAGTAAATTTTATAAATGGGTTAGATTATCGATAACTTAAAGCAAAAAAAAAAGTATTAATTTTCTTGTCCCTTAAAAAATTAAAATCAAAACATAAACTCACATATCTTTATGCAAGGTTTATTTGTACCATTGCTTATTCTAATTAGACAAAATTTGAGATCCATTAAATGGGCTATACAACAGAATATACACTCAGACTATCAGTTTACCCCATTACCTGGAAGAGGAAGTTGTGTGTATTAAGGAAGAGGAAGATCTGTGTATTAAATGTTTAGTACAGCCAGAAGTATCACAAAATTTGAAGAAAGGATTTTTGCAACTCTAATTCAAAAGAAGAAATCAGGGCTTGACATTAACTAAAATATCCACTTGTCCGTTGGACAAGTTTCCATTAATGGTACTTTTCAGAATGCATTTGGACTTGTACGACTTTGGACAAAAAAATGAAAATTACAAGTACATGGCATGTTTTCCTATTATTAAATATAGTGCAGCCGCTGCAATTTATAATGATAATTCTGCACTGCGACTAATTTTCAGTCGTTTTTAGAGGTGCATGGTCATAAGGAAAACATAGAAAATCACAAAAATACTTCTTCAAACGTCTTTGTTTTAAATAGTTTATTAACTGAACAATAGTTAGAAATATTAACTTTTCTAAATTAAATTCTTTTTTTTCAATTGACGTAAAAGAAATCCATATTTCAACAAATATAGGCAAAGGCACTCAATAATTTTCAAAGGATTTTATAGTCACTTTACAACCCTAAATTTGTAAATATTTATCAAAAGTCTTTGTGACAGTGTTTTCAATCCTTAATATGATGAAGAACATACCTATATGATTACGAAAAGTGATTTAAATATATACCTTTCCCCGCAAACTAATGAGAGAGTTTTTTTATCAATACTACTCATATTGACCTTTTTGCACTTACACAGGATTTAATGAATAAATGAATGTTTTGGCTTACTTTCAGATTTACATTGTGAATATTTATCAAAAAATGTAATTTTTTTTATTATAGAAATTAATATTTTAGCGAAATATTATTATTATAAACGAACTATTAAAAATTCATATGAATAATTAACAAATAATTATAAAAATGAATACACATCATTTTATAAAAGATTTACAAATATTAAACACAATTTTTATAGATCTATGACTCAGACGACATATCATTAAGATACTGTACTATTTAATAGTCAACTGAAGATTTCCTACAATTTGGCATTCCTTCAAAATAGTTGCATGTCATTCACATTATCACAGTTGTGTATTGTCATTGGCTGAGGCAATCAGAGATATATCACTCGTCAGCTTTTGAGAATATTTTGTTTAGAGTCTCTAACTTCAAAATTATTATTTAAGATTCGATTTTATGACATATTTCAATAATTAAACAATGCAAATCATACAATATTCAATTAAAAACTGATTATAAAATTAAAAAACAAACAAACAAAGAAACAAACATTGTCCTCATTTTGAAAACCTCAGAGATAGAGTTATTTACACACTTCCACATTACATCAACACCAATATATTATTATTTGGTGACCAAAATCTTCCATTGGCAGAAAATGTTGCGATCTTTAAATCTGTCCAAAAATATATTGTAGCTACCAAGAGATTTATATAATCAGTTTTCCCTTAGTATCTATTCACTACTCCCTCTCCCATGGGTATGTTCTTGTGCATATTCTCTTAAGTGTATGTAGCAAGCGTCTTTTTTTTTCATTGTTATTCTTTTCTTCTCAACTTTGTATTAATATCTGTTACTGCTGTACCGCTCCTGTATTTATTCTTTAATTATTTTTTCTGTAAATTCAATCATATCCTGCTGTTTTTTTCTCTCTCTCATACATACACATTGTACAAATCCATTAGATTTCTTCTGTATAATTAGAACGTCATTCATTTGTGTGAATCGACATGATTTCTTCTAATTCATCATTTATGTCAATTTCAAATATTAGTTTTTAAGCAGCTTAAAACCGTGTTATGTAACTATCTAATAAGGGTCTGTGATCTTAATCATAATAATAAGGAAACGGATTAGTATAAGAAAACTGTTCAAAAAATACATTTGTTTGATTTGATATCTTGGAACTTTAACCCTATATATTTTTTACTCAGAGAATTTTTTCGTTTTTATATGTTAGGAATATTGAGATTATAGAGGTTTTAAAACAAATTTTACAGATTTGCTGTGATTACATACATGTATTGACATGCCAAGTTTCCTCAGCCAAGGTAGTGCTCACTCAAAACTTTTCAAATCACGGCCCACATTCACTCAAAAGTCTTTGCCAAAAATGAAAATGTACTTAAGAAGTCAAGTTTAAAAAATGACACTGTTCTTCGCCTGAAAATCGCATATTTTGACCAATTTCTCAAAATTTACATCACTGGCCCCAAATTTTTCTTTCTTTATTTTAAATTACACGATACATTCAACTGATCAGCACTAAAGTCATAAAAAGCTTGGTACAAGAAAATATTTTATTGCCTATTTTAATTTTTAATACCCAAAATATGATATTTTTGAGTGCAAAAAGGGCATATAATACTTAACGCGCATTAATTTTCAGGCTTTTTTAATTATTAAATATTTTTTAAACTATTTTACATAAAAATAAGATTATATTTATCGCTATCGTTATATTTACTAAAAGTGATTAATCTAAAAATTACAATTTAAGTGCAAAAAGGTCAAGTTGATTGTGCCTGATCCCACCTCTGATGTTTTTAGAGGTCCGTGTTTGTTCTGCTCCTAATTTGTATTGTTTGACTGGACTTTTGAGCTTGAATATTGTTCGTTATCTCCATATATTTCATTGTACCGTTTCTCAGTAAGATGCACGCTGACCTCCAGTTTTCTTAGCGATTTTGAGTCATGCTATATGAGTAATTACCTAAAATATACTTTTCAAAAATCCTTGATATAACTCATATCACGAGTGACAATGACGTCATATGACGTAGGTTCTACGTTAATTATCAAGACTGAAGTATTCATAATAATTATATAAAATCTGTCTATAGACAGTTTTTTAAATGTGAAATTAAAAACATTATTGATGTAAAGTAGCTCTATCTGTAACCTGGTCTCGATCACTCCTGTCATACACTATTTCCGGCTATTCTGACTTCCAAGTTTCGTGGAATTATTTATCTCTTTTCTGTTCATAGATATTTTTATCTTTAACTTTCTTATCATCACTTGAATAATCCTTCTTTTTTTTTTACTTTGGTTAGAAGTTGTCAATCAAAACTTTGTTAGATATATGATATGAATATGTGATGTTGACAGCTGACACTTTCTGTCTCTTTAAAATTTTACGGTTATATATTGAATTTGTTTGATTTGATAACAACTGTGCCCCTAGATTGACCTGTCCGATCAGAATATGAAATGGATACGGAAAATCGGATAAATGAACGTTAATGTTGAGTCCTGAAAATCTAGTTATGCACCTGTCAACCCTTATGTGAAAAATGCCTAAAATAAGGGAAAACATTCATATTAAGGGTTGCAATGAAATTAACTCTTTTATTCTTAATTCAAAGTATTTACTTTAAGTTATAATATTGTAGAACTCATTCTTTTATATAATGAACAATCATTAATACCAATTCATATAATTTGTAAAATCATTTGCTCATGAAAAGGATATTTTGTCTTTATTGTATATTAATGACAGGTCTAGTTTTTTTTTAATCTCATTATACTAAAATTATAGGCTGATGATTAAACATAGGTATGTATTATATATATAAATCAATTTCAATTTATTCTCTAGATCACTTATTGAAAATTATGACTGAAAAAAAATACATGTACAGTGTTCAACAAAAGAGATTTAGAAATTTCTAGAAAAAAAAAATGGATTCCATTCTTTATGTTAAAGACCCAGATTGTTTTAACATACGGTTATCCCTTCAATCGTTTCAAAATAAATTTTTGATGATGCATTTCTGCTATCTGATAAATCATTCCCAAATTTTATTCTTGCTGGAATCTATAAGTTATTCGTAATATGGAAATTTGTACTTTGGTTCCCAAAATCGCTACTATGATTTATATTAACTAGACAAGGTTCAGTCATTTCAAATAGTAAATTAGGGGTGTGTCCATTAATATCT